AGTCTGCAGAGTGTGCAGACGTGTGTGTGTGTGTGTGTGTGTGTGTGTGTGTGTGTACATTTATTCTTCCGTGTGTGTGTAAATCATGTTTTACAAGTGCAGTCAGGTGTAGGTAAGCAGTTGCCCATACCATGGTCTAATTATCAAAAGAGACAAAAAAAGTGAAAACCTTTCCCCATATCATGTATTCAAGAATAAGCCAATATTTCATATTATTATTTTTTATTTCAAACTTTATTAATTTCTTAAAAAAACAAAAGTAATTCTATGTACAATAAAAAAAATAAAATACAAATAAAATGAAATGAAAGGTGGCAGAGAGAAGATAAAAATCTTATTACATCGGCCCCTTTTCCTCAAGTATGAATTCAAACAATGATCCAAACTGAAAAGCAGTTTTACTGGATTAAGATCAGACATGTCTTGAGGCCTGAAACTAACCTTCAGACACATTAGTACACAAAATTTTCTGCTCCAGTATCTGTGGACAAATGGTCTGAGTGCAGTATTTAAAAATCCAGACTCACTCGAATCAGAAATCGTTTTGTCAGGAGGACATAGTTCATAGTTCTGCTCCAGTGTCCTTCCTCGTCTTAACCCTGTGCTGCTGAGTGAAGTAGGTTAGAAAAGTGGAGACATCAGGACAAAGTGACTCTCACTGYTGGCCTATTTTCTACTTGCCCTTCAGGCAAAGTGAGCCACGCGATGTCAGACCACAGTATCGTCTCCACGCTGGTTGGCGACTACAATGACACTATTTAATGGTATTTTTTGACCTCCGGAATAAGATTCGTCACGTAAAAACCACATGAATTTGCTTTTGTTCTCTGTAGTAACTCAAGCCGTCACGTAATATTCCTGGTTATGCAAAGATAACAGGAAGAGCCCTTTGGATGCACTCAGTCATGCTCACTCATGCATGCAAATGCTCACAAACCAAACCAGTGGCTCCTTTTCTTTGTAGCTTTTCCCCAACTAAACCCACGAACAAACATGGTTTATATTCTTTATAAACCAGCTTTATATAATCTGGTGTTGAGGTGCTCGTGTTTTTTATGAATTCCAGGCTAAAATATGTTTGTTTAGAAAATAACACTTACAGATCCATTAAATGTTTGGTTGTTGCTGTTTAAACCGTCCGATCTGGTTTCCACTTTTGCAGAACCTTGTCGAGGAGCAGCAGAGTCAACTCAACCAGTACGAGTGTGCGGCCGGCCAGTGCGTCAGCGAGCTGCAGAAGGCTCAGCTCCAGGTTCAGTCCCTGCAGGCTAAGATCCAGGAGAGCGAGGCCAACAACATGGTTAGGCATCAAAAAAGAAAACGGGGGAAAAAAAACCCCGACACAATGCAGTTGGATGTTTTTATCACAGTGGGACTGAAGACYCGCCATCTTGTCTTCTATTTCTAGAAGCTGCAGGAGAAACTGAACGAGATGGAGTGCGAGCTGCGCTCAATCCGCCAGGCTGCTCAGAGTCAGGAGAGGACCATTCAGGGCCTCACAGAGTCCATCAGTACTAAAGACAACGAGGTGTGTGTGGAGTAACGTGTTGGTGTGAGATACTACACCTGCTTTAGACTGATCTGATTTATCATTTATTCTGCTCTAAGGCSCAGGAGCTGTACCATCTGATCGAAGGACAAAACGACACTCTGTGTAAGCTGCAAGAATTGGCTCATCGCAACCAGCTTGCTCAGAACCAGGTGAGACCTCCTCCTGTTTATATTGTGTTCAGAACTCTTATCAGCAGTGGGAAAGGTGGTGATGTGCTGCATATTTTCCAGGCTCCAGCAGGGATGAGCGAGTCCTTGACGCTGGCTCACCTGCAGAACGAGCTGGTCCGGGTGCAGGGCTCCTTGTTCTCCCTCGGTCTGGAGCTGGAGGCCAGTCAGAGGAGTTTAAGACAGAGTGAAAGGCAAGGGGACGACCTGTTGAAATTCAAGGGTCGGCTCAGCTCGGACCTCCAAGAGGCCCTGCAGCACCGGGAGGTCACGGCGAAACACAACCAGGTTGGTGGGGTTTWTTATTTTTTATTTTTTGTTCCGAACGTGCGATCGAGTCAAACACACGAGGCACGTCGCCGTCACTGTCCCGCCTCTGGGTGCAGGATCTGCATCACGCCCTCCAGAGAACCCGCTCCGAGCTCCAGAGTAAGGAAGCGGCCCTGAAAGAGAGCGAGGCGGAGAGACGCGCGGCGGCGGAGGAAAAGGACCGGTTCATTGAACAGCTCAAACACTCCCTGCAGGACAAGGAGCTACAGCTACAGGTGACGTCTCACACACAAACACACGCATTTTTGTGTAGACACGTTTCTGATCTGGTCTGTAAATGTTGCCGTCTGTAGGAATACTCTGAGATGGTGGAGGCGACAAAAAGCTCCAAACCAAGAGACGTCCTGCTGGAGAAACTAAGGGAGCGCATTAAAGAAAGAGACAGAGCCCTGGAGGTAAAAGCCTCTAAAATACTCTTAGTWTTGCAAACATCTTGTCTAAGCTGCTCTATCTACTGTCAACCTTGTAAAGATTGAAGCATCTTCAGCTCAGTTTGTAGATTCTGATGTATAATGTAGTTTAATTCTTCCCTACAGCGCTCCATTGACGACAAGTTCTGCTGTCTGGAGGAACGGGAYGGCCAGCTGAGGAGGCTGCAGCTGGCCCTCAGGGAGAAGGAGCGAGAYCTGGAGAGGCTCCGCTGCATCCTGTCCAACAACGAGGAAACCATCACGGTACGTTTCCTAACTCGAGTCAGAGGGGCCAGGGGTGGGGTTCGCAGCCGTGTGACTTCTCCGTTTGGTTCCCCAGAGTTTGGACGCTCTGGTGCGAAGCAAAGAGCTGGAGCTGGAGCAGGCGGCGGAGGCCTACAGGAACCTCCAGTGGCTGAAGCAGAAGAGCGAGGAGGAGGAGAGGAACGCTCTGCGAGAGAAGGACGCCCTCGTCGACCAGCTGCAGACCGCTCTGCGGGCACGCAGCCAGGAGACGCAGGTACTACACGCCCGCCACAAACCCATGTTTCCAGTTTCAGCTTGACCAATGCGGCAGTTTTCTGTTGACACGGTTTCGTTTTTGCTGCCTCCAGGAACTCACGGCGGCCCTCGTTGCCCGAGGGCAAGCCGGTCCCGCCGAGGTGGTGGAGGAGCTGAAGACTCGTCTGGCTCTTAAAGAGAAGCTCTTCCAGGAGCTGTTGTCGGACCGCAGCCGCCAAACTGATGAACACCGAGCGCAGGTCCAAGATCTGCTCAGCACACTGGGCTCTAAAGACCAGTATCTGCAGGTGGGCWGCAGCGTGAGTGTGAAAACACAAAGATCTGAGCACAACCACAGCAAGATGATGAAAAGAGCCTTCACTCTGTTTCTGCTAGGACTCCTGCTACAGGCTGTCCTTAGTGATCAGTGAGCGGACAGCTCAGCAGCAGGAGCTCCGCAGACAGCTGGCRCAGACGGAGCAGGAACTGTGTGAGCTGAGGAGGGACAGGGAGAGAGACGAGGGAGGAGAGACGGACCACCTGCGAAGGCTCCTTAAAGAAAAGGAAGCTTTTATTAAGGTATCCGCTCAGACATCCTGSCTTCGCTTTTCCTCCTGCTTTGTCTTCACCATGCTGATRTTCTGMTTCAGGAGCTGATTCAGGACCAGGATGAAGCTGTGCAAAAAGAGACAGAGGCAGAGATGAAGGCTCTGAAGGAGGACATGCAGCTGGTGCTGAAGAAGGAGCTGGAGGCTCAGGTATTCACTCGTTTAGACCTGGAGGTGATGCAGCCACATGCAAGTAATCTCACAAGACTGTTTCTCTCTCTGCAGGAGGAGATTTCTGCTCTTAGGTCGTCTTTGGAGGAAGCAAAAGACGGCACCGATCACCAAGTAGGATTTTTCTCATCTGTTGGTACTGCTTTTAAAGTGATCGACTTCCTGAATAACTCTTTTTCCATCAATGTGCTTTAGTATGTGCTGGAGCAGCTGGTGACCGAGTACAAGAAGCTGAACGATGCCCTGAAGGTTGAGAAGAAGCTGTACCAAAATCTGACCCTCCATCACAAGAGTGACGGGTACACGTCTCCGTGATCGTTTTAATATTTATAAATACAATCCGAGTCMGAGTTTTACACATTTTCTTCTTTTTGCAGCAGCTCAGAGAAGATCCAGGCTCTCCACACGGAGCTAGATTCTGTTCAGGCGCTTCGCGGGCAGCTGGAAGAGGTCCTGGGCAGAACCCGCAGCATGGCCCTGGCACTGGAAAGGGCAGCTCAAAGGCAGCCTGACACTGGAGGTGGGAAAGGGCAGGGTCCAGCCTCCGAGGCTGCAGGCAGCACTTTGACTAACGCTCCTTGATGCTCTAAATGTGAGACAGAGCTGCCTCCCACCGCTGAGGGTTAGAAATCCTTTTAAAGAGCGAAAACGATGCGACGCATCAGTTTAAAGCAGGGATTTAAACCAAGATTTGACTTTCAGTCAGGAGGCAGCTGTGTCCTGTTAACTCTACTCCGAGTCGAGTACTCGGAAACGAAGTTGTGCAACTCCGRGTTTTATTTATTAACCTGTGATTGTTGTGTGGACATGTTTTGTTTTTGATAACCGCCTGCTTTGTAGCTTCTATCTCRCCATTTCTGTGGACCATCTCTCACCGGTGTCACTCTTCCAGCCCTAAGGTCGCAGTAAAGGTTCATCTTGTTGCAGTGAAATGTTCCACCATCCATCGTCTCTTTATATATCATTTGTTTGTCAACAAAATGTACAGACTCAACGTATATCCACTTAAAAAAAATCTACAGCTTGGTACCTAAATTAGTTTAATGTTTAGCTTTCATTCARCCATTGGTGTAAAGTTTCTCTGTGCATGAAACAAACTCATCCGGTTGAAGCTTAGAGATACTTATTATAAGTTAATGTTATGGTAATTAAAAATATAATGCTCTGATCTTTTTCTCTTTTTTTTGGCCTCTAAGATGAAATTGTTGTCTTCTGTGTTTTTAAATGCATCAAAATAAACATGTGCTTGCCTTTCCTCAAAAGCACTTTTGCTATGGTCTTCTTATTATTAATTGTGTTCAACTGGGAGTCTCCATTTAAAAAAAAAAAAAAAAAACTACCACCCCCACTAAAAACWGACAAGTGTTTTTCCTTTAGATCCTAAAACCAGTTTTGTCATCAGCCCCCTGTTTTGATTTGAAATTGTGCACAAAAACACCTACTTTTTACATGTTTAAATGTCATAAAAGGTATGAAAAGAAATGACATTTTAAAATCCAACCATCCACGTCGAATGATATTTGTCCAGGTTAGTTTCTCCTTCGCGTTCCTGCATGAGACTGTGGCATGGTCTGACCGTCATGTTTGCATGGCTGTTTTTGATGTGACACCCGGTTAGACTCTGCTGACGGGGGGAGGAAAAATAAACAGCTGGTTTATTTAACACCAAACAGAACACGCATCAGAGGGGAAAACAGCCCCGCATTCAATCACTTTGACCTTTCTGTTTCCTTCACTGTTAATAAAAACAATTTTACTTCAGTCTCAGTCAGTCTACCTGTAGACTCAGCATGTTTTATAACACACTGTTTCCCTTTAAATCCCTCTCAGTCACTTTTCCACCAAACCTGTTTCCTGCAAACTCACATTCCTCCCACTTTCTTTGAAACACCGCACACAATCCTTTAAAAACCAGAAACATAAGATAAACAATCGGCGCAGACTCCTCTTCATGAGCAGGATTTATAAATCCTGTGTGAGTGCTCAGGGTTTAGAGCGCCTCTCATAAGGCCGGGCCCAGGCTCGAGTGTTCTTGGCTGGTGCGTAACTCATGACATAACATTTCCCGTCAGTCCCATGACTGCCAAATGTGGTGATTCAGAGCAGAGGCAGATCTGTGGGAGGAAAGGCTGGGATAGAGAYGAGGCCACTGGCGTGAATGAGGTTTAAAAAACAAATAGGAATAAAAAGTTCARGGTTTAAATGAAAGAAATAAAGGATCTGCGTTGTTCTTAAATGGTTACTGTGCTTCCAGAGCTCAGTTCAGAGGAGGAGGAGGGAGATGATGAAGACGGCAGCAGCGAGGAGTTCACGGACAGCATCGAGGAGGATGAAAACAATGTGAGCAGCAGAAGTTTGAAATCTGTTCAGGTAAAATATTTTTGACTCATTACAGTGATGTAATTTAAACAAGGATGCTTTTTTTTAATGTTTCTTTGTTTTTCTTGAAGTCTCAAAGAGTTGATGGTGTGAGTGGAGAACTGGTGAGGAGCTCCTYGCTCCAAAAAGCTGAAATAAAACAGCTTGAAGAATCTAAGGAGACACTTGAAGCTGAGATTGAAGAAATCCAGTCCCAGCTGAGAAAGGATGGATTCAGCTCTTTGGCTGAGATGAGGTGCACCTTCTCAGAAATGGTTTTTGATTGAGCTTTTGTGCCTTCTGGTGTGTTTGAGAATTTAATTTTTTACAATGTTGCGTGGCTTTTCTTTCTGCTAGGACTGTCCTGCAGAGGCTGCAGCAGGAGAATCAGGCTTTCAAAGAAAATCCCCCTAGAGTGGTGGGCCTGAGTGCAAACACTGTGAATAATTTGATTCAAGAGGAGGAGGAGGAGGAGGAGGAGTGTAGTGCAGAAGAGGATGAAGAGTTGGTAACATTGCAGATGGTGTCTGGAAAGCGAGGTCCTCCTCATGCTAGTCAGAGCAATGAGTCGGGGAAGAGGCACTGCAGGAGGCCCTGTTCTTTGGACCTGACGTCCCACCTAACCCGGACGGTAACTTGAATCCTGTTTGTGTTGTACGATACCATATTCAGGAGTTTTTACTGTATTGTAGCTGTAAATGAATTCCAACAGTATTAAGACAGGAATGGCCTYGTTCACTTTTCTAAACCTCACTTCCAGTTTACAGACATTCACGTCAAATTTAATCTTTTTGTCCTTGATATTGTTTTTTTATCTTTAGAAACCAGATTGTCCAATTAAATATTTAACAATATTCCTTTGAAACAAAACACCAGAGGTCTACTTCAAATCTGCCAACATCTGCTGACAACAATGAGATTCACCTTCATGTTTACTCGGTTATTTGAAGAGCCGTTTATGAAATTCTTGGGATAAATAAAACATGAAATCAGTATTTTATGAAGGTTGAACACTGAAGACCAGAATTTAACCTGAACTTTACCTGAGATCATAACTGAAACTTACATAATCCATATTTTGTTCTCTATTTATACACTGGGCACCAGTGGTTAGTCTTGACTGCATCATATGACTTTCATAACAAAACATCCTCTGCACCATACAACACCCTGTGTAGCTACCTTCATAAACCTGAGTAACCAGTGATTAATCTACAGACTAAATCAACTCAACTCTGATAAAAAGTTATATATTTTTTTTTCATCCCCCATTTGTGGCACCCCCTAGATTGATGCACACTTGACATTCGCCACATGTTGGTCCTGCATTTAGCCATCCGAATTTAAATAATTAAGCATGAAWTCCTCTTTTTGTTGCTAAACCAGTTTGTTGTTGCAGAAGCTGGAGTTTAGCCACAGCAAAGAGGTGTTGGAGCTCGGTCAGGATACTGAAGAAGGTCTCCAGGAGCAGGCGGCTCGTCTTCGGTCCGACTTGGCTCTGAGCTGCCAGGAGATCAGAGAGCTGCAGGAGAGGCTGATGGTGTCTGAAGCCACAGTCCAGGCTCAGGCTGAGCAGCTGAAGGACTACAGAGATCTGCTTAGTGAGTTTATCTGCAAAAGAACGCTGGTGTGATTGTAAAATAAAATAAAATAAAATAAACATAAAACTGCGGTCAGGTTCTGACCTCTCTCTGTGTCTGTGCAGCAGAGACATCTGTCCAGCAGGCTAGTAAGCAGGTGCAGGTGGACCTCCAGGATCTRGGTTATGAGACCTGCGGCCGCAGTGAGAACGAAGCAGAGAGAGAGGACACCAGCAGTCCAGGTCACTCGCTCAGTCCTCGTCTCTCAGACCACGACTCACAGCGCTTCATTTTCTTCAGTTTTTCAGGACGTCTCTCCTCTCTCCTCCACTCAGAGTTCGACGACCTGGAGATGTGCACGTCGCTGTCCCATCACCAGAGCTGCGACCCTGCGGGCGGCGGCTGGTACGCTGGAGACCGAGGAGCGTATGAAATGGGGGATGAGTCGGCGTCCCTCCAGCACCTAGTCCAGGACCTGCGCTCACAGCTGACCCGCTGCCACAAAGTGATCCGTGGACTGCAGCTCCGAGTCCGCTCCCTGTCTACCACGAGCGATTACGCCTCCAGCCTGGAGCGCACACCTCGGAAGGTACCGACTTCACTCTCTTCAGTATCTGATGTATTTTAGGTTTATTCTCAGGGTTGCACATCAMATTTTTGGTCTGGTTCTCAGGGGAGAACCTGGGGTTGTTGCTTGGTGCTTGTATTTTCCTAAACTCATTTAACTCATTTATTTAGAGGGGTGTCAGGGCATTTATTATCCTCCTGTTCTGTTTTATGATGCTTTCTATCAGCTGGCAATGTCTCGGGACATCATGCCAAATCAGAGTTATTTATTTTGTATTTTTTACTCTGCATACATTTTGTAAACTACCTAAGTGGCCAATGGGCTGACTCATGGTCATATGTCATCTCAAAGTGAACATTTCATGTTTAAATGTTTGTTAGATTACACACATGACCCTGAGATGTACAACTCCTGCAGTTTGGCCTTCTAGATCTTTGGCCTTGTTTAAACCAGCTTTCCACACTCTCCAGACCCAAGCAGCAGATATCTGTCTTTTGCACAGAACAAATGTTTTATCTGTTGGACTGATTTCTTTTTTAAAGACTATTTTATACAAAAATATTATTTAGATGGTTTCAACTCATGTAATCATTTAAAATTATTTATTCTTCATATTTTATCATTTATTAAATTACGTTTATTCCAGAGCAGCTGTGTCACAGTATGATTCTAAATATAAACATATTTAGCACATTAAGAACCTTGTTGTTATCATAGAATTGTGAAGAATGAAATTTGAGGATCTTTCTGATAAATTAAAATAACATTTAAAACTCATTCTCCTAGAGAACATGGCAAGTTTTTATTTTTTTTATTTTTTTATTTATTTATTTATTTATTTTGGATGGTGGGTGACGTTAAAAAGAGAAAGTTCAACTTTAGTCACAAAGTTGGGCAGATCTGTTTGATAACAACGCTCTGAACATATGTTTAATATAAAGTTAGGTTTTACAGACCAAAGTCTCTGGTAGTTCAGGAGCAAAGTGCAGGAGGAGATGTCAGGACTGATCGCTGCAGCCGCTGCTCCAAACTGCAGCTGAAAACTGCTCTGACTGAAAGTCCCGCCCTGCTCTGCTCTGATTGGATAAAACAGCTCTGGACTTCGTGTGATTCGTTGAAAGCAGTGTCCGTTTAATCCTTCAGGGCCCCGCTGCCCTCCTCTGCCAGAACGATGATCCAGTCACACCAGTGAGGCTGGATTTTTTTGTTTTGTTTTGTTTTGTTTGTTTTTAAGAAATCAGGTCACATTTGCGACCCTGCTAGCTGTTGTTTTCACAATCTCAGGTACTATCTTAGGTACGCAAGGGAGCTTTATGACATTCCATCTGGTGCGCTTTTTCTTTTTTGATCACGCATGCGCACCTGCTTATGTGCAACTCTGTTTATTCTGCACCTGTTTTATGCTCATCTAAYAGGTTAACTGGGCGTTTGAGAAATCCCCAGCTGCTAGCGGTGTGGAGGAGGACGAGGGCTGGATGTCTGACACCCAGGGAGTCCGATCCAGCTCCAGGCCCAATAGGGAGCTGCAGAAGCTCGTGGAACGAGTTACTTCACTCGAGGCTCAGCTGAAGACCACCAGAGTGGAGGGCAAAGATCAAGAAGAGGAGGGGAAATGTGCCACCTGGCCTGGGTGAGAAGGAACGAGTTTGAAACAGGAGAAAATGTCAAATAAACGCCATTTTATTCACACTGTGGTTTATTTTGCTCCTCTGGTTTTCCTCATACTTTTTCAGGAAGTACAACTCTTTGATCCAGGCTCAAGCTCGCGAGCTGTCCCACCTGAGGCAGAGGATGAGAGAGGGGCAGAGGGTCTGCCACATCCTGACCCAACACTTAGGAGATACCACCAAGGTGCTCCAGTTTATGTTTCCTCTATTATTCACTTATCGATGTTTCTACATCTGTAACACGAGGGCCATAAGAAAGTTTCTGCCTCACGTTCTCACGATTTGTTCAAATTCTCACCACCTTCCAGGCTTTTGAAGAGCTCCTGCGAGCCAATGATGTGGATTACTACATGGGTCAGAGCTTTAGGGAGCAGCTGGCTCAGAGCGGCACTCTGGCACAAAGAGTTATCACCAAAATAAGTGGACGTAAGAAAAARATCTTATCATTACAAAGTGCAGAAGCTCACTTCACTTCTATATTCTTTTGCTAAACATTACTCCTCTTTTTTTGTTGTATGTTTGTTTGTTTCATTGCTGCAGGGGAGCACGCAGAGAGCCATGATGATAAGACAGGTCATGAGTTGCTTGCCTTAAGGTTCGTCAGTTTGATTATTATCGCCCGCCGCCAGAAGGCAAAAGCAAACAATAATGTTTTTAACTGTGTGTCTCTTTTAGAAAAAAATCTCATAAACTGGGCCAATTTGAGTGAAACATTCTGGGAATAATCGTTTTGTGTAGTTCTAAAACTTATTAACTTTGTGAGACAACACAGTTCAAGCTGGCCGCTACAGCTAACCRACATAAGCTRACACAAACATGGGTATAACTCAGTCAGTTTGGAAGATATTGAACTGAAACCTAGCATACACATTTTTGTGTTTGATTCAACCATAAATCATGTTTTGAATAATAGTGCTTTCATATATTCAGTCCCTTAAACTTAGAATCCTCATCCAGGAACCTCTGTGGTGTCACTGAGCCGTTGAGGGTATTAGCTTTAGCTCATTAACTTTGCACAGCTCTGACTCCTGTTGTGYCAGTTTCCTGTTGTGTGACACACTAGAGATCAGCGTTCCACATGGTTGTGAAAAGTGCCAGGAGTGTGCCGTTAATCCACGCTYACAGGTCATTTGAGGGGCTGTAGTTCAGTAAACGACCTGCAGGTGTCCCACCAGGCAAACCTGAAACATTTGGGCGCTCTTTAGTCCCAGAGAGAAGGTTGCCTGATTCTCGACACTCGTGTGCTCCTGCAGGCTGAGCAAGGAGCTGCAGAGGAAAGATCAACTCATCGAGTCGCTCCACACCAAACWGCAGCAGCATCCCGAGACCCCGTCCAGCTGCCACGCCCTCTCTGAGACCACTGACCACTCGGACAGGACCTCCCTGGTGTCTGACGAGGACCAAACCAATGAGGACCTGGAGCTGGGCTCGGATTTGGACGCCAGAGAGTTTCAGGAGGAGCGGCAGGGACACGCGTCAGAACCAGATGGTATTACTGAGCGTTATTTTTTCTTTTATTATTAAATATATTTTTCCATTCCCTTCACCTTTCATACCCCTCTTCTAGTCCCCCCATCTCTCCTTCCTCCTCATGGTTTCCTCAAGTCCTCCAGCAGCTGTCCCAACATGCGTTGCTCAGTGGGTCTGACCCCTCAGACAGCTGGAGGTATGGGACTCCAAAGATGGCTAAAACGGCACATTTTCATTCTGTTTTATGTTCTGTTTCATTTCCCGTCATTCTCCTCCAGCTTTTTTCAGTGCTCCTGTCTCCTCTCCTTCTGTCCCCTCCCCTGGCCCTGATCTCTGGGGTTATGTCCCCCGGCCCAGGGCCCTGTCTGTGACCGCTGTTCGCCCAGARCTAGACACGCTGTACAAACAGATGCAGAACAGGGGTGAGGGGCATGACGGAACTGTGTGGGTTTTGTTGCTACAACCGCCCTTGTTTTCCTCCAAGTATTCAGCTCAGCCGTTTTCTTTCATTTGTGTGCTTACAGSCTTTCCAGCCCCCCATGACCAGACCCTGTTCCGTCTTTCATCAGGCGCTCACAACCAGCACGATTTCTCCAGCTTCAACCAGCTATCCCAGCATGCCTTTCAACACTACCAGCTCGGAGGCGTCTCAGAGGGCCACTCCATCCACTCCGACTCAGGTTTAATGTCAGGAAGACCTTTGTGGGACATGGAGAACTTTSTTCAGCCAGTCGGAGGCTATGCTGGTCACCAAACAGGAGGCAGCCAAGCAGGTGTGACAGATTTATTTGCCACCTAATGTTTAAACACTTGAACCAGCTTTCTAACTCTCATACGYCTTTTAGGAGTGAATTTGATAGAGGAACACCTGCAGGAGGTAAGGTGTCTCCGTCAGCGTCTGGAGGAGTCCATCAGAACCAATGAGAGGCTCAGGCTGCAGCTGGAGGAGAAACTGGCTTCTAATGGGCGCGAAGGAGGTGATCTACCCTCACGTTTCATTTAAGAAGCTACTGAGGGTCAACTCTGTCACATCATAATGATATAACCATCTTCTATCGTTCAGGAGCAGCAACAAACATCTATATTCAGGGCCTGGACACYGTCACTCAGCTGTCTAATGAGATCCGAGTTCTAAAGGAGGAGAACCTGGCTCTACAGTCCCGCCTGCARGCTAGCACAGGTGATTATTTGCACGTGATCAAGGTTTGGTTCTGGAGAATGTGAACTGAKCCGGCGTCTCCTCTCCCCTCAGACACAAACCAGGAGGTGGTGCAGTTGCGAGAGGCGGCGTTTGCGGCCCGCACCCGTCTGAAGCAGGCCGAGCTGGAGGCCGAGCAGTGGAAGGAGGAGCTGCGACGCCTTCAGGCTCACACTCAGGAGCAGGGACAGCAGATTCACACATTCAGGCAGGAGCGACAGGCCAGCCAGGACAAAACTAACAGGTTGGTGTGATTAAAAAAGATGAGACGATACGATACGATACGATACGATACGATACGATACGATACGATATGATACGATACGATACGATACGATACGATACGATGTAATGCGATGAGATGAGATGAGATAAAACTTTATCCCACAGTGGGGAAATTTGCACATTACTGCAGCTCAATACAGGAGAGGGTGAGATAGAATAAAGAAAGATGAGTAAAAGAAAAACAAAACAAAAAAACAGCACTATACACATGTGATAGATAACAATCAGTGGTGGGTACGGTTCTCCTAAAGCACTAACAGGGGAACTAATTTCCTGATTAGTGCTGTAGGGCTTTTGCTAATTTTAAAATTGTTTAGATGATTAGCACTTGCTAAATTTACAGGCTAAATTTAGAAGCACTTACTGAGGTCTATAAAGGTTATTGATCAACAGTGTTGTTGTCTGTTGAAGAATGTTCATGGGTCGGCAGGATTATTTTAGTGCTTTAAAATTAGCTTTTGCTAAAACTTTCAGTGCATTAGTGCTTTAGAATAAGGGAACCTAATTATTTGAGTTTTTTAGGACTAGTGGAACTTAATTTTTAGGTTAGTGCTGCCCACCRCTGATAACAATGTACATATACCAATGCACTTATACATATATATTAATAATAAATTCTCTGTTACATGTTTGGGCTTATTTTATACAGTTATGATGGTTTGTGTTTGGCCAGGCTACAGCATGAGGTGTCTCTGCTGCAGCAGCAGCTGAGTGAGAGCCGGGAGCTGATCCACTCCCTGCAGAGTGAGCTGCACGTTTATGATCGAGTGTGTTCCAGCACCAAGGCAAACAAAGGTCAGTCGATTATCTGAGTTGTTTTTATTATTGTTATTATTGTTGTTATTATTATTATTGTTATTATTTTTTTTTGTTTGTTTGTTTAAATTTTACAACTAMACTTAAAAAGTAAATTTATGTTTGGTGAATTATTTCTTTGTTGTAACAATGCTTCTGGGCAATAAATTTGTCATGTGYGAAACCCACATACTCAGCTCAACTGCTCATCCCACAAATGCATGTTCCTTACAAATGTGGCACCTTTTAAAAGGCAAATTAACAGGCTTTCTATCAGAAGATTTATTGCCAAGACACATTGGTACAGCAAAGAAATAATCTACTAAACATATATTTATTTACTTTTTGTGCTACGGTTAGAATGTGATCATGCACATTGTTCTCAATTCAATTTTTTGACATTGGCACCATCTAGTGGTTAATAGGGGARCAGTTAAAKCATTATAATTTTCAGCACTTGAAGTTTAGATTTTTGCTAATATGGTGCTCAATGCAACAAAAGTTTCAAGTAAAAGGACCTGTTGTTCCTCTCCAGGKTACCTGTGCGAGGTGGCCGGTCTTCCTGTGGAGCTGGGGGAGCTGCTGGGGGAGGTGAGGAGTCTGCGAGCGCAGCTGCAAAGCAGCGTCCAGGAAAMCAGCGCTCTCAAGCAGCTGGAGCTGCACAAGCAGCTGGAGCAGAAGCTGGGCGTTGGGTCTCCACGGACTCCGTCTCTGTCTGCCCTCACTGCCAGTCCTCAGAGAGACACCTTCTACAGACGGCAGCTGCTGCACGGTTAGACAAGAGATTTCTAAACACAACCCCCCCCCCCCACACACACACACACACACACACACACACACACACAACACTGCATTGCAACATGTTTGTGAGGCCCTGCGTGCTGTGCTGCTGTGTATTCAAGCCTCCTTTGCYATGTGTGTGTTTGTGTGTGTCTGCAGACCCAGCTCCGTCTCCACCAGTCAGGGACATTGGTCTGTTTAACTGTGGATCCCCTGGTCCCCCCTACTCAGATCTAGATGACAGCCATAGCACTGCAAATGGTGTGAATTTAATCACAGCTATATTGCATCACTTCATTCTACCTTTCATTTCTTTAAGTTTATTCTAAATAAAACTAAACAGCTTTGCAAAAAATACTACAATCCCAATTCTGAAACGTTAGGGCCTTGTGTAAAATGTAATTCTCATAAACCCACATTTTATTTACAGTGCTGATATTACTAATGTATGTCTTGTTGTGAAGGAAATATGTTTAATTCTGTCTTTGCATTTTACACAACATCCTAACTATTTAAAAATTGGGTTTGTACTTTTGGTTCTTTTAAATCTGCCCGCAGCTGCATAATTAATCAGTTTTAAACTTGACTCATTCAGTTTTGCGTGAATCCGTAAATAAATACCTCGTCACGCAGACCCTCTGGATCCACACTCTGAACTGGAGGGGGAGGCACCGGACGGGTCATTCGCGAACCGCAACGGTCGCCACGCTATTGGCCACGTGGACGACTTCAGCGCTCTGCAGCAGCAGGTGCTGGAGGGCCGGAGTCTCGTCCAGCGCATGGAGACCACCCTGCAGGCCTGGCTTGCCCCACCGCTGCTGGAGGGCAAAGAGAAAGAGAGCAGAGAACTGGTTTGTTTCCAAAACTCAAGTAGGGAGAAATTTTTACAAAGAACTATCAAACAGATGAAACTAACTTAGATCTGCCTCTAGGTTCTGGATTACGGAGGAATAAAGAGCTTTCTGTTGAGCACCAAGACTCTGAGACAGATCCTGGAGGAGGCAGCAGCTCTGCTGAAGATGTTCTGGAGAGCAGCTCTTCCCAGCACTGATCCCTCCATCCACAATCTGAAGAAGGTGTGAAGGACACAGCTGTGTTCTCTGTTCAGCCAGATATTTTTATCAAATAAAACTCTTTGTGTTTATAGGAGCAGTGCATGCAAGAGGAAATCTTGTCCCTAAAACTGCGAATCTCCGAGCAGGAAGAGGTCCTTAAAGGGACGGTGCAAAGACTGAGGAACACCAGTCGCACCAAGGAGAGCATGGAGCACTTCATAGTCAGCCAGTGTGAGTGTTTATTCAAATGTTTGAGYTCATTAAAATGGCTTCATTAAAACCAAATACCTGAAAGGTTTTGTGTAAATGGAGCATTTCCAGCAGCATACACATGTTTTTTTCAGGTTTCACATAAAACAATAATTTGACTCTGCTGTAGCAACACAAACAAATCCTCTTTTTTTCCCCTCAGTATCGAGGACGCGTGATGTTTTGAAGAAAGCAAGGACAAATTTAGAGGTAACCACACATCTCTGCTTCACTCTCACTTAGTGTTTGTTACATTTTCTGTGCATAAACGTCACATTATTGTGGTCTTACGTGACGCGACGTCGCTGGTGTCGGAGTTTCATCACTTTTCTGTCTGACTCGTTGCTCCTGTCTGAATTTGTCTCTCCTCCCTTCTTTCCCTCCATCCCTCCCCAGAGGAATGAGCTGAGACTTTCTTCTCTAAGCTCCTCCCCTTCCTGTCCTTACGCCGGTAATTGTCTGACAAATGTGAACATAATGTCCCAGAGTGTCTTTTGTTGTTGTTGTTGTTGTTGTTGTTGTTTTTCTTCTTTAATCTGCTTTTCTAATCATATTGGTGTCACTGCTTCACCATCCTGTGTAACACATTAAATCCTCCCTCAGCATCATCATTTTCAGTAAACTCTGTTTGTTTGATTCATCTGCTTTTGGCAAAACTAAGACATGGGAATTATTGGAGGTGATGTCCTCGTAGTGATCTCAATATCTTTCTTTAACAACCCTACTTTAGAAAGTAACTGTGCTGCATCTTTAACTAAAAGTTTTTTATAACTTGCTTTGACACTTATGTACAACATGTCTTTTCTATGGAGAACCGAAAATGACATAATTAAAAATAAAAGCAGAA